ATACATCTATACGAGTTTAGTATTGTAATATATTTTAGATGAACTTTTGTAACGAATCCGAATTAAAAATACACTGTAATATTCCATAGACGAGACTGCGCCGTTCTGCTCGAGAACAGGGAAGGAATATTACGCTCAAGAACAGGAGAGGAATACGGAGGGTTTATTTTCATCCGTACATGTTTTATCAACGTTCTTCAGACCAGTAGATTCTTATTTGACAAACGATTTGTATCTCTAAATGTTCGAGGAATAGTTACTGACACTTAAAACGCGCACAATGTAGATGCATACGTAATATGTGCCACACTGACATTCCTCATTGATTGTTGGAACCATGCAGTAACTATCCCAATCGCAAAGTATGCCAAATAAAATTCAGCGAAGCATTTTTCCTGTAAAGCCACATCACGTATATCATTATAAAATGGATGATGTAATCTTATTACTGGGACTTGAACGTTGGCGTTACTTATGCCCGAGACGGAGGTTCGTAACAAGTACAATAGATTGCTTTAAACGTATAATTGATTTTTCGGAATTTAATGCCGTACCAATTGGTGGTGGCGCTTAATCGGAATGTAAATGACGTGCAGCCGACCTTACTTGTTACTTCTCAGGCATAAATAACGGTAAGGTCTCGGGCCCTGTTTATTACAAAGTACCTGGTAGATACAATCGAATTAATAGATTGAAATTTATTAAGATTTTTTGCACGGGAGAGAAGAGATGTGAGCATCTTAATTAATTTAAATTTTATAAAGTGCTATATTATTAAGTGTACTATTTACTTTACGACGTACATCGCTAATCGTAAATTTTACGTGGCTCTAATATCTTTCTCACCTTACTTATATTCTGACTAATATATATTTCATTTTATCAAAGCGATCAGCTTAATGTTATAATTAATATAAATATAGACTGTCGAATGCGTTTTATTTACGAGTAGAGATAATTAATACATATGTAATGCGACATAACTAAGACAATGTAGAATGTAAATTATTCATATTTACTAGCGGCACGTATGCCGCAATTTATCGAAAGGAGCAATGAAATAAGTGTTTTTATTCTAGAACTCAAAACAACAATTTCAATATATAAATCTACTAAAAGACACTAAAACACTATTGTAGTCTTGTTTTACTGCTCTTATATGAATGCGTTTATTATATATTGATAAAAAAAATATAAGTAATCTCTCAGTAAACGATGCTTTCACGTATTTATTCGAAACTATGTAGAAGGTTTTAAGTTATTTCTTTCTCGATAGTTGAGCAATTTTTCTTGGAACCGAAAGATTTCCAGTCTTCGATAATCGGAAACAGCGTAAGATAATGTACGGTGCTATAAAACCTATCTTTTATATTTCACCTCAAATATCTGGGGTTTAACTGTAAGCAATCATTCGTTGGTGGTTGTTTGGACTGCTAGCAATTTGTCTAATAATTCTGATAAATTCGAGATAGCAAAATTGTTTTTTTATTGATCTCATAATTTTATTCGAATAATTTCGTAGCCCATCTTGTACTAAGCAATATGATTTTGCGAGTTATAAAACAAAAACATTGGTTGCTGTAATTTCTGATGATTGTAAAATTGTAATTTTCAAGATAACAAGATTTTTGTATAACAGTAAAATATTATATTATGTAAAAACTGACAAATTATTACTCGAATCGGCAAGACATTTTACAAAGAAATCGTTGGACAATTTCTAAAGAAAAATATGAAAAAAAAAGAAAGAAATGCACAAAGTTAGTCCGCGTCTTATCGCGCATGTGAAACTTTAAAGCTTTTGACATAGAAACAAATCCCTGGCAATATCCAGTTCATTGACTGGATTTGGCACCGGTCGATTGCTTCCTCTTTCTCAAAATCAGATTATGCTTGAAAGAGAAGTGTTTTGAGAGTGTATTGAAGCACTTTCGTGCTGGTATAACCAACGAATTGAAGAGGGTTTCAGAACCTTTTCTACCTCTAAACAATTTATCATCGTTCACTTTTTCGAAGCTCGTGGTAATTATGGAATTGCAAAATAAATTTGTTATCTTCGTTGTATTTTAATTAAAACACCGGCTCGGAAATTTTACAGCTGTCTCTGAACTTTGAACTTTAACGGTATACTCGAGAAATTTTCATAAAAAAATAATCCGAAAACGTAAGCGTTTTCATACAAAATTTTATTTGTCAGAAAAATAGTTTTATAGTTTTAAAAGTCGAAAGCTCAAGTATCTTAATTATAATTTTGCAAACTTAAACAATCGTGTGTCATTTATATATTATTCTTTGCGTCGAATTTGTTCCAACGAAAGGGAAAAACAAACGTCACATTCGATAAGACAAATAATTTGAAATAATAAAAAAATGTCATGTAAAATATTAAGATTCTTTTTTTTCTAGTAAAATGTGCTATTTTTACGCGTCCTTCGATAGTCGTTGACGGAACGGATTTGTTAACGGCGCAAGAATTTCTTAGACGCCCTTTAAGATAAGAAGAAAACATGTCAGCGATCAAGTTTTTAAGTCATTTTTGTCGAAAACGAAGAGTTTCGTGTGAAAATGTTTGATTCCACAGTTAGGTCTTATTTTTTTGTCAGGAGGAGTCAGTCGGTCCGGAGATGCTCCGTAGCTGCATGCTGTCAGCACGGCGTTCACGGCAAAGCAACCATTATAGACGTACAGAATGCGAGGAAATTATACAATTTCCGGTCACACTGGAAGGGTTTCGGCCTTCTTTGTTTTGCATTAGGTGCATTCGGGGGCGGGCAACGTTGCGCCTGACGTTCGGTCCGGCCGTCCATCCGCCGGCGTACAAGCGCTGATTAAATTCAACGTGCGATCTGGCCCCCGGACGACAGATAACGCGCTTTGATCTGAAGGGATGTTCCGAAATAGGTAGACGAAGGCCCGCGTTCGCGGGCGATAAAAATAAGAACGAGTTGAAACGACCGCTGTCATGTTCTTGGGCCAGCGATATCGCATTAATCTAAAGCATCTTGGAGACGGTCTCGTTTAATTAAATTATGCACGAGGACATATATTTATAACTTCGGACGCATGTCTATGTGCACACACAGGCGGAAGAAGAGACAAAGAAGAGGACTGAAGGACACGAAGATGAGGAGAGAGGCGTGGCGTTGGGCGGCAAGGGAGACCGAACGGCGGGTTAGCGACGGCGAGGGGTGGAAGAGAGAGAGAGAGAGAGAGAGGGAGGGAGGGAGCAAAGGGCACAGAGGGCGGTATGCTCGAGAGAGAGAGAGAAAGAGAGGGGGAGAGAGAGAAGGGGGATGGAGGGCAAAAATGATCGGGATTTTAGGGGAGCGAAAGCGGCGCGTTTACGCTCCGCACTCCCGCCTTCTTCCCCGTTGGCATCATCGGCTCTCTCTTCCATCCCTAATCCTCGCCACCGCGACGATCGCGGCGCGGTGGTGACAGTGGCGGCGGTGGCGACGGTGGCGACGGCGGCGGCGGCGGCGGCGGTGGTGGGTACGTCTTACCGCAACCTCGCCTCTATCTCCGCACGTCCTCGTCGCCCCCGCCGACGGGGGGCGGCCAATCCCCACCACTCTCTCAACGGCGCCGCGGCGCGGCGGCGGCTCTTCCCATACCACCCTCGGCGGATCGATGGTGATTCCCGCGCCCCCCGCCGCGCGGCGCTAACGTCGCCCAAGCGCCGCTCAGTCCGAACTCAGGGTTCACTCAGTCCACGAACGTTTGCCACGAGACTTCGATCTCACACACCGCATCGCACACGCTATCTCTGTCTCTCTTTCTCTCTCTTTACTCACCCGCCTCGTGTCTCTCTCTCTCACTACCTCTCTTTCTCCCTCTCTCCCTCTCTTTTCTCTGTCTCTATCTAGCTATATATATATATCTTTCTCTCTCTCTCTCTCCACTTTTTCCTTTTTTCCCGCTTGGCGGACGGAGAGCCAAGCTGGTGACCGGGGAGGCGCGCGTAGTAACCGTGCATCGGTCTACGTCAACGGAAGTCTTGCCGTAGCACCCGGCGTGCTCTCGGTTACTCCGACCCATATAATCGTCGTGCCGCGGCCCCCGTTCGTCCGCTTCGACCGGCTGCGGATCTACCTGCGGCGCAGCGAGGTAAGTGGGCGACCTATCCGCGGCGTGTCTACCTTCACGTCGCTTTCTACCAGCGTTACGCGTGCCCCACGGATTAACCCCGCCGGATTCGCGCGCCCCTACTCGCGGGCCTCCGATCCAAAAGTTCTGCAAAAGTTTCCGGCATACGCGGGCCCCCGGGCTCGCTCTCCCTCGACTTTTCATTCCCCTTACGCTGCAGGTTTCTCCTTCCCCCTCCCCCCCCTCCGCGGACTAACTAAAAGATCCCGCGATTTACTTGCATTGTTAAAATAACCTCCCCCCCTCTCCCCCGAGTTTTTTTAACACCCGCGTTGCACCCGCGCTCGTAGCGAGGGGCTCGCGGATATTTCGCACGTACGTTTAGACGTGGACGAAATTCTCTTCCGAAAACATTGCACACTGTATGATTCGAGAGAACCCCCGGCGAAGTTGTGCGCAACTTTCGGCGGAGCTAATTAGACCGAGGAATTGGATAATATATGCGCGGCCTTTAGGCGGCTCCGAGGATAAAAGTTTACAGAGCCTACATCGCGAATTACGTTGCGGATTACATTGAGCCTTTAACTTTTGCGCAGCGGGAGAGAAAGGTCGGGCGCGCGTCGATTAATTCATATAACGGGGCATTATTATGCCCGCGGGCGATGCAGCGCGAAAAGCAGCGCAGCGATAGAGCGCCAGAGAGCTCTTTGCGGGGAGATTTCACCCCTTTTTTTTTCTTAAGCCACCGTGTACGAAACGGAATCGAATACAGTCGACGAAAGGTCGCCCGCCGCTTTGAGGGAAGGAAAGTTTATTTTTTTGCACGAGCCGCTCGCGAGAGCCGGCCTGCGACTTCCGGCGGCGGTGAGAAAACGCCACGGCGTCGGTATTCGGTTAACAACCACATCCGTGTACAATTTGCAAACTCGCCGAGTACTTGTTTCTTTTGTTTTTGCAAGAAACTGCCAACGACCGGCGCCGGCTACTGTTATAAGTGACAATAGTAAATTCAGTAATAAATTGAACGTTCGCGATTGCTGTGAGATTAACACGTTTTCGCGAAGGGTTCAGGGCATTATCGACTCTCGCGGAATTCAGATTTTATGTCGATAATACGGACGTTTATTTTTGCCGTATTTTTTGTCAGGTTTCGATACGACTCGCCGTCGAATATCCGTTCTGCGGCGGAACCGGCGTATTTAAAAAAAAAAAAACAACTTTCGGTTCACCGGAACCGCCGTTCTCCCGTGGTTTGCACCTCATAAGGTGCTGTCATCTATTGGCAGGGTAGTCCACTTAAATAAATAGTAGTATAGTCGAGTAATATATCCGACACAAATCCTATTTGAGCCGATTGTGTGCAAAACAGATTGTTCGCCGTCTCGAGGAAAAAAGGAGGGATTTTTTTTTAACAATCGTGTACTTACTATTTCAAAAACTGTCGAGTGGGAGAACCTGCTCAGGGGGAAGAAAAGGACAGTCACAACCCACTTTGGGGCCCGCAATTAGTAGTCGAATTATTCGGATGGTTCGTAACTCGCGATCTTTTTGCGAATTTTACCGCGCGTAACTAAAAATCGCAATTGGCTATTCCAGCCAAGATTTTTAAGTAATACCAATCAATTCTCTCAATCAGTTCTGTCGATATTCAGTAACGCACAGATCATTTTCACTTAAGAGGCGCTAACCGAAATGTTAAGTTGCTCAACTACGCGGTGGAAACCGCTGAGCAAAATCTTGTACACCAATGCCCACTAAAGTCCAGTGGGCATTCCCAGGTAGAACATAAAACTCATGATGACGTCATAACGACGTCCTCATGATTTAATTCATCACTTAAAAGTTACCCAAACAAAAATGATTGAAAAATGATTTAAAGAGGACAAAAAGAATCATAGATTTTAAGTACATATTCATATACTTTTACGTTATAGTTAAAAGAGATAATTAGAGAAGAATTTGTTAATTTTTATATTAACATGATGTACTTATATTATTCTAATATGACTGTCAGAATTTCTCTTTTGAACTACTTCTATTTTAAAAAAATCATTTTCTGTTATTATGCACGCGCAGTTTTTTTAAGCTGCTTTCCCATTAAAAATAAATATTTTATTTTAATTTTTACATTATTAACACATGATCTCTTAAAGTACATTTTGTGTGCAATAATGTTTATTATTAGTTATTTATAATAATAATATGTATACTCGCTAATAATATGTATAATGCAACGAAATTTCGTGTATCAATCAATTTGAGATAATATTCTTCTTTTTGGAGGTCATATTAAAGTCACTATGATATCATAAATAAGTCACCAAAACATAGCCAAAAATGTAGCCTCAAATGAGATCATTATGATTTTTCCAAAATGACTTTTAAATGATGTCATAATGATGTCATTACGAGTTTTATGTTCTACCTGGGTTACTTAATCTTGTTATCATATTTTATCTTGTTGTATCTTATTTTACCTTATTTTATCTTTATAATACTCCAGCAAGGCCCAATGCCCAAACTAATGCCCAAAGAATTTTGCCCCGCGCAGCTAAAAATCACAATTAGCTGTTCTATCCAAGATCTTTAAGTAATCAATTATCTCAATTAGTTCTGCCGATATTCAGTAACGCAGAGATAATTTTCACTTAAGAGGCGCTAACCGAAATGTTAAGTTACTTAACCACGAGGGGGAAACCGCTGAACAAAATCTTGTACACCAATGCCCACTAATGCCCAGTGGGCATTACTTTATCTTGTTATCATATTTTATCTTATTTCATCTTTATAATACTCCAGCAAGGCCTAATGCCCAGAAATTGTCTAGTGATGCCTAGCAATGCCCAGTAATACCGCAAATCTGTACACCACAATGCCCTCAGCGGTTCCCCCCTCGCTTAACTACAACAAAAAAACGGCCAAAATTGTTCCCAGAGTAGAGTTACGAACAATCCAAATAATTCGAGTACTAATGGTGGGCCCCAAAATGGGTTGTAACTGTCTTTTTTTGCCCCCAGTTTGACATCTCAAGTTGTTTTGCCCCTCGGCGGCGTGCGAGATGGAAAAGTTATGAAATAAAAGGTTAAGGCGAGACCATTGTATCGTGGTTATTTTCGAAGATACGATCGATCGCGAGGAACAGCTTGCTGGTTACATTTTGAAACATTTTGAAAAGCTTCGGTCGAAAGAGGAATTTTCGAGCGCCACCGCGAAAAGTGGTCGCGAGATTATCTTCAACAAATAGCGTTCCCGATATTGCGGTGGTCTCCTGTGATGCTCCTCCCAGGATAGCTCGTCCTACGTTGAATTATATTATAGATGACTGCTTACGTTACCAACGTGCAACTGCTCCAAGCCGTGGGGCTGGGCGAAAAAGGGCATCAAGTAGATATACGTAAACATAGCGGCTTTGTGCGCCGGTAAGAACGCGCCGCAAAGTCCCCGACGAAAATTCGCTCCCGCGAGGATTCTGCTCATCTCCGAATCCCTCGTCGGCGGAACTTTATTCACTAACCGAATAACTGCTGCGACCAGACGCGATCAATAGCGAGACCGTTTCGGTAAACAGCGAAAAATTTCGCATTTCTGTATTGAGAGATCGGCTCCGTATCTCGCCGGTATCAAGCCGGGCTTTTTCGGCTTCCTTGCACACAAGATCTCAACCGAGACTGGGATACGCTCTCCTCGAAGGCTGTACTTAAAATGCTTGCTCATTTCTCGCAGGCGTACACCTTTTCATCGAAATGTATCCCCCGGTAGGAAAATATTTAGCACATCCCCGGAGGAAAAAAAGTTTCTATAAATAACTACCAAAAAATTGACTTGAAATAGAAATTTGTAGAAATTTTTATATCCTCGTTGAAACATTTATTGTTTTGTAAAAATATCTACGAAATAGCACCACAAATTACTATGTTTCTCAAATCAAGAAATTATTGCAAGTAGTATTTAATGGAAATGTACAATTTTGTGAAAATTAGTACGAGACTTTACTGGTTTGAAAAATGTGAGAAACAATAAATTCTTAAAGAATCAAAACATCTGCTTACTTGTGGAATATTACAAAAATTAACAAAAGCGTTCCAATTCTAGCATTTTCACGGTGATTTTTATAACACTTTTTAAATTTACGTAGAATTTCTTAGATTCTGGCAGTTATATCTAATTTTTTTTTGTAGAATTTTGTAGAATTATTTCCGGCGGGGATTATGTCACGAAATCTGGATGAATCTTGGAGTGCTGGAATTATGCGTACACTGAGAAAAATTTTCATCGGATAAACCAATTAAATAGTGTTTTCGATGGCTAATTTTTGCAATTACGTTTTCCAATTAAATTATGGATACATTCGATGAAATTTATCCGACGAAATGCAGTTACCGATGAAATTTGATTGAAAAACCGATCATATTTTTCATCGAGTATACAATTTAATTGGATGTATCCGTTTGTTATTATGTAATTGCGTTGTCCGATTATATTTCATCGGACATTTTTCTAAGTGCACATATTTCGAACAACATATAACAAGAAATGGAGACCCGTTCGTCAAATATTGATGAATGTTTGCACAATGCAATAGTATGTCAGCAAAACAGCTGCGTTTTGGCGAATCACCTTGGCAGAATATTTGCACAATGAAATTGCTGTCGCGTTATGACGAGCTGCCGCTACGAGGCGTCTCATACTCGCAAGTAAAATTCACGCGGGATGAGATAAAGCCCAGCGATAAATAAGTCCCACGCTGAATCTTCTTTAAACATTTATTACACGTAACTGTGTTGCTGGGCAATTTTGCTTCTAAATGTCGAAATGATTGCGCACGATTTATCCCCTAAATTGAGATCCCTGCAAAACCGCTGCGCACTGGCGAATCACCTTAATGCAATCGTTGTGAAATTTCCTCCTTTTGGATGATGCGATTATTGCACGGTATTTGAGACATTTTCCTGTTCTTTTAAATAGAAATGTGACGAAAGTCGTCAGATATCTCGCGGTGTCTCGCGGGGCGATTTCAAGCG